CAATTTCACCCCCTTCCTTCCTATTGCAGCCTCCTGAGCCACATGGTTACAATAAGTCCCATGGCCCCCAAAATAAACTTTCTTGGGATCAGAAATGACTGTTGGGGGGAAGGGAAAGCCAGGAAAATTAAACTGTCAGCACATTCCACTGCCACACTGGATCCAACCCATAAGGTACACAATAGGCACGATCCAGAGAAATGTGCAGCCAACTGTGTATGTTCAGAGATAATTTTTTAATTTTGTTTTCCTCAAACTGCAGTCTTTTGTCCTCAAGTGACAAAGCAATTTGAAATTTCAATTAGTATCCATGCAGATTTGAACACAGTATGGCAATTTCCTTATGTGGAAATTAAAATGCTCTAATACTGGTATCCATTATTGTTTAAATGTGCAAAACACTTTTGTCTCAATCCTGTTCACTGCATCTCTACAATGACCACCATTACTTCTGTTCTGCTGATAATTCAGCTAAAAGAGAGGCTTGCTAAAGTGAGCAGAATACTGATACCATATCTCTGGCTACCAACGATCATTATTGTAACCTAGATTATAACCTGCTGTGAAAAACAAGAACCCAAGCATCCAAGGAGGAACTATTTCAGCATATGGAGATGGCATTAAACCCCCCCCCCCCTTGAAAAGACTGGATCATAAAATTCTTTATAACATCTGGACAGGATGTCCACAGTGACAGACTTGTATTTAATGTCATCCTGCTATAAATCAGAAACTTAACTATATGGGCCAGGCTTGACATCCTTGGGAAGTTCCAGTTTAGAAAATCTCCTTTCTGACTTCTAAGATGAATAACTGGGTTTAAGACAGAATGGCTTCCTATTTTCTTATTAAAAGTTTTGCAGTTACCATTATTATTTGCAGTAGGCATACTAAAGCTATAACGATCCTGAAAATAAAACATTACAAAATCACAGCTGCTTTCCAGCATGGATTTATCCAATAAACCAGAAAGCAAGATCTTGACCAGTTTTCAAATTCTAATTTTCAAAATTCAGTTGCTGTGACCAAGAAAAGATTCAGCTAGTCAGGAAATGAAATTGGCTCATTAAATTTATTTTAAAAAACCCATTTATTATGGAAAGCTAAGCCCTGATGGACCAAAAATAGGATTTGGGAGATAAAACGCAGTGCCTTGGTTTATGTACAGTTCTATGCACCTCTGTTATTATGGATATAAGCAATTCTGGTCAGTGACCAAAAGGATTTCACATTATTGTGACATTCACTGAGGCTGAATTGTGCTAATGTCAAGTGCTGAAAGAGCATGTATGCTTTCTTGGAAGCAACCACTCTATTCTCTCAACATGATTACATTAAGCCGTATGTGTAGGGTTGCCAGCTCTGGCTTTGGAAATACCTGGAGATTTTGGGGGTGGAGCTTAGGTAGGGCAGGGTTTGGGAAGAGGAGGGACTTTGGCAGGGTATAATGCCACAGAGTAGACCCTCCAAAGCAGCCAATTTCTCCAGGGGAATTGATTTTGGTCACCTGGAGATCAACTGTAATAGCAGGAGATCTCCAGGTGCCACCTGGAGGTTGGTAACCTGAATTGTAAGTGTGATGGTTATCCAAATAATGGTTTGTTTCTACTTTATTGTAGTATAACGGCTACTACTGAACAACAAACACACAATTCTGATACCAGTAGTCCTGCTACGTGGTCCACTTTGTTTATTAATTACAATTGTTAAGAGGTATTATTAGAATGTAAAAGGAGAAAAGAAAAGGAGAATAAAATGACAGAAATGAAAGAGACGTTATTAGAACGTAAATTAGAACAGTAAAAAAAGAAAAACCTCACAAGAAAACACCGCAAACCACAGGTCTATAAGCAATTCTACCTTAAGAATTCGTCGGCTAAAAATATGCTGATCAGAGAGAAATCCATGACTGAGGCGAGGAAAAGCCATCTAGTCAATGTGTTGCAGGAAAGACAAAGAGGTCAAGACAAATGTTATGATGAAAGAGTGAATTTCAAAAGTTCATCCAGCATTATATAACAGAGGGATTCCAGTACTGAGTCAAGAACTGGTATTTTGGAAAACGTAGCCAAGAAACAGCAACAAAAATAGCTTTAAAATACATTCTTCACTAGATGCCATATGGGGTGGCATGACACCGAACATCTCTTCATTAGTTCAACATTCATTTCACAGCTGCAAAAATAAAACTAGCCATTCTTATTCATTCCATTACTTCATAGTGATAGCATTCTCAAAGGGATAACAACATAATTTTACTTCAAGAGCCATAAGTTGATAGCAAAATTCTTGTACCATTGGGAAACTTCGTTTTGGAAGACTACTCAGCTAAATTTCAGCTGGCTGGTATTACCTAGAGAATATTTTTCTTGGGAGGAGGGTACATTTCGTGTTCCCATTTTGGACAGAGATGCTGAATTTGAATTGTTCAATTTTTATACTTTTCTAGCAATCAGGGTGTCTTGGAACATTTATGTACAAAATATCAGTTTTTGAGGACCTTTAAGATAAATTGAGGTCAGCTGCCTTGGTTATGGAATGCCCTCTCAGTAATTGTTTGTCTGGCTCCAGACTTTATGACTTTTCAGGACCAGGCTAATTTTTTTCCTTTTGTAATTTTCCTTTTGTTTTCACCCAGAACCTTTTAGATTGCTGATTTTTCTTGTGTACTGCTGTTATTCTTTTATATTTGTTGCTGCCGCTTATTGCTTTGCGGTGATGGTGGTGGAAAGTGCCATCAAGTCACCGCTGACTTATGTTGACCCTGTAGTGTTTTCACGGCATGAGACATTTAGAGGTGGTTTGCCATTGCCTGCCTTTGCGTCATGACCCTGGTAGTCCTTAGAAGTCTCCCATCCAAATAGTAGCCAGGGCTGACCCTGCTTAGCTTCCAAGATCTGATGAGATCAGGCTAGCCTTTGCTACTGATATGTACTCACAGGGGATCTCAATTATATCCACATATGTTAAGCCCTAAAATAACATGTAACCTCAGTTACCATGTATACTTAAACATGGTTTATATAGAAACTTAAGCCTGGCCGCCTTAACCGTCAATTCTTTCAGATAAAGGTAATTTATAACAGCCTGTTATAAAACAACTTGTTTTTTTAACATATTGAAAAAACCACAATTTACAGTATATGGTTGCAGAGGTGGGGTTTTTTTTATTTTCATAGAAAGAAACAAAAATGAATGTGATAAAAACATCTCCTAAAATATCTATATGGATCAAATCCTAAATCTCTAATTCTGGAATCAAATAATTTACCACTGACATAGAAGTTGGTCGATGAGAAGTGTGGACAAGAAACAAAAAACTGAAACCAGATGCATTCCTCCTCTGTTTTGATAAAGGATGGAATAGTTTAGTCTACGACATAACGGAAAGATTGCTAGTTGCTTTGACTGAGAAGGTCGGTTGATTCCCAAGTTGCATTTAGCATATCTCACACAGATGTCTTTCAGCCTCTTCATATGACTGCTGTCCTGAGGCAAGTGTTGTGAAAGTAAATGTAGAGTGGCCCTGTTCATACGAGGCGGTTTGGGCCGGGAGGGGAACGGAACGGGGGCGAAGCAAATGGGCGCGATCCCACAGCAACATCTGGCCAGCGTTGCCTGCCCATCCCTGATCCGT